CGACGAGAGTATGCGGCCGGAAGCGCGAGAGCGCCACCCTCGTAGCCGGCTCCGGCGGCCGCGCGGAGGCGCGCAGCTTCTCGCCCTCGTCGGGCTCGTCCCACGGCTCCACCTCGACTTCCGGGGGCCTGCCTGTCGTACCGCCAACCAGGTCAAAGTACTCCGCCTTCGTCTTGCCGTCCCACTCCTTCCACGTCGCCGCGATCTCGCCGTGCTCCTTCTTGAGCCTGTCATGCGCCGCCCGCAGCTCGTCGAAATCGGAGCCCGGCGCCTTGCTCACGTCGAGGTCGCGGAAAGGAGCATGCAGGTGGCGCATGGGCCCGGCGACGAGCGCCCACGTGCCAATCCACGCCGGCTCGCGGATGTCGACGGCGCTAGTGAGGCCCATGCCGCCCATCTTGACGGGAAGGCGCGCCTGCTTGCACGCGCGCTCCCAGCGCGTGCCGGCGGCGCCGACCCGCGCCCCGCCGACGAGCTTGTATAGCGCCGCGTCGATCAGCTCGTCGTGCCTCTCAGCGGCCGGGAGGGTGACCGACGGCGGCATGGCGCGAAGGAAGAAGGTGAGCGTCGTGTTGCTGCAGAAGCGCAGCAGGACCTGCATCACCTGCTGCGCCGTGTGGATCTCCTTCGTGTCGCGCAGCTTGAGGATGCCCTCGAGCGGTTTGAGCGCCCTCTCGACTCTCGCCACGAGCTCCGTCTTCCGCCATTCGTCGTCGCCGAGGTACGCCCCGAGCACCCGGATGCCTCGCAGGGTACCGCCCGCGTACTTGCCGTCGGGAGGCGCCGCCGGCGTGCCCCTCACGCTCGGGTAGTCGCGCACCGCCTCGAGCGACGCGGGGTCGGGAGCCCAGATCTGACGCTTGCTGACGTTGCTCGCCACCCCGCTCCACTTCTGAGCAAGGGCGTCGCCTTCGAGCATCGCCTCGAGCGCGGGTCTCGGCGCGTCCGCGACGTAGGTGTCATCAAGGTAGGCTAAAATGAGGGCGGACGGGTTGCGCACTTGCATCTCGAGGAGCGTCCAGTGGTAGCCGATGGCGAAGAGGAACGGTCCGAGCGGGTCCCCCTGCGCGCATCCCTCGGCCGACATGAAGACATTGCCGTCGCCGTCCCGCGCCTCCTCGTTGAAGAGGAAGAGGCGGCGCGGGACCTTGTACCACAGCGCCACCGTGGGGATGAGCTCGGGGTACCAGCGACGCAGGCCATAAGGGCCCTACGCGCGGAGTGCGAGCTCGGAAGCTCTTGTGGTTCCACCACCCCTCGTATGCTTTGCCTCTGACCGCCACCGTTCCCAGGCTGCCAAATGGGATGGAAAGGAAGGCTCGGCGAGCGTATAGAAGCGTGCTCGACCTCGTCGTGGCAACCTGCACGGCAGCGCTGGTAGGCGCGATGAGCGTCGTGCCACCTGACCCGAGACGGGTCGCAGGCGTCGTACCGAGCGCGTCGAGACCGTGTCCTGATGTGATCTGCACGGGTGAGTCACGTCGGCGTCAAAGGAGCGACGTGCGACCTGTCAGAGCTTGATCTCCGATCTCAGCGGCGTCGAGTCGTCTCCGGCGCGCGACAAAGGTACATCCCCAGGACGCGCAGAGGCAGCTGCGACCCCCGGCCGAGTGGACGGTTGCACACCGCGCCACCTGCTGTGTGCAACCGTCTACTCGGCGGGGTCGCAGCTGCCTCTGGAAGGCACCGAGATGTACCTTTTTGCGCAAATGGTCAAATCAAGGTTTTGTAACGCGAGCTGTGCCACAGTGAAATGGAACTAGCCTGTGGGCCCCCTACAGGGGCCCCCTACGGCTAGTTCCAATTCACTCTGACACGCTAATCTTGAAAACGCGTCCAACGGAGCTCCGTGTTGCTCCCAGCGCCCTCCCCCGAGCTTCCTGCGGCCATGGCCGGTGCTACTAGTATGGGGGGCTACCTGGCTACCGCGAGCGCGACCCAACTCGTCGACATCGTCCGATGATGGTGCCGCAAAGTCAGCCTCCGGAGGCTATCGTGGGGTCGAGCCGGCAGTAGCCGCGACATGTGGTTCCACCACCCCTCGTAGGCTTTGCGTCTGCTCGCCACCGTTCCCATGCTGCCTAATGGGATGGAAAGGGAGGCTGGGCGAGCGTATAGAAGCGTGCTCGACCTCGTCGTGGCAACCTGTACGGCAGCGCTGGTAGGCGCGATGAGCGTCGTGCCACTTGACCCAAGACGGGTCGCAGGCGTCGTACCGAGCGCGTCGAGACCGTGTCCTGATGTGATCTGCACGGGTGAGTCACGTCGGCGTCAAAGGAGCGACGTGCGACCTGTCAGAGCTTGAATCTCCGATCTCAGCGGCGTCGAGTCATCTCCGGCGCGCGACAAAGGTACATCCACAGGACGCGCAGAGGCAGCTGCGACCCAGCGGAGTGGACGGTAACGCACCGCGCCACCTGCTGTGCGTTACCGTCCACTCGGCGGGGTCGCAGCTGCCTCTGGAAGGCACCGAGATGTACCTTTTTCGCGCAATGGTCAAAATCAAGGTTTTGTAACGCGAGCTGTGCCACAGTGAAATGGAACTACTCGCATAATGTGGGTAAACGAAAAAAGTAGCGCCCAATTCGTCTACGTACGGCTTAGTGTGTGGTTGGGGTGGCCTCAGGCATCCCCAAGGGAGCCTCTGCGGTGCCACATAAGCAGCTGAGTGATTGTCGAGACTTTAAAGGATTCGTTTGAAGAAACGCAAACAAGACAAACGGTACTATGGTCACCAGTAAACGAAAATTCGACTTTGAGGGATCATATCTCAAAAGGCTGGGTGAGAGCATAGCATTATTGTTGCATATTATACCACATAAGGTCAAACTTGACCCCAGAAGCATCAAGAACCCGATGCTCCGGCTCGACTGTGCCGGCACACTGCCTCCTCGCGCACGCTGCTCGCAGGCCGTTGCGGCCCGTGGTGCGCCAGAGAGAGAGGTCGACGCGTTGCCCCCGCCGGCGACCCCGCGCGGCTCAGGCCAGCCAGAAGGTGTGTGGTGACGGCACCGTGGCAGGAGTGCGGAGAAGAGCTCGCCGAACGCGAGCAGCAGATGGCCAAAGTGTGCCAGCGCGAGAGCCTCGCGAGCGGGCGCAGAAGGAGCTCGCCGTGACACGATGCCGGGCGGTGGTGGTGCTCTGGCGACTGTGCACAGTGGGCAAAGTCAGGCTGCAACAGGGCAGCACGTTGGTAGTGCCCTGCTGCAGCCTGGCCTGACATGCACAGGGCGAACAGAGGCGGTACTATCGTCCGGCGCTCGTCACCGAATCTGGGCGAACTTCGACCGCCGCCACAGCTCACCACGAGCACGCAGCGACAAAATGTTGACTGTATGGAAGTCGAGGCTGGTCCATAGGAGGAGGCTGCCGTGCGAGCCGGCAGCAGGCTGGCTCGTCGTGGACTGCCGCGGCGACTTTTTTCGGTGTCTTTCTTGATAGTACCGAATACGGTACTTTCGTTTACCCACACTCTGCGAGTAGCCTACAGGACCCGTCGGAGGATGAGCCTGGTTTTCTGAGGAGGAGCGTGGAGCGCGGCCGGAGAGCTCGTCTCAAAACGGAATGTCGGGGCCGTGCCCCTCGTACTCGGACATCGGGTCGCGCTCCGCGAGCTGCAGCGAGCCGGGTGGCCAGTGTCACGATTTAAAGACACTGTCACGATTTAACACCATCCTGCAGTCCGCGCATGAGGCTCGAGAGCGCCGCTTGCGCCCCCGCCTCGCCCCGCACCTCGCCGCGCTGGATGGCCGTCGCCGTCGCCTCGCCCTCCTCCGACGCCGGGACGTCCCCAGCCGAAGCCCTCGGCTCTGGCCCGTCTGCGCGGCCCAGCCGGGGCCCCGTCAGCAGCTCCGTCACAGCCTCACCCTCGGCCATGTCGAGCGGCGAGGCGCCGTCCTCGTCACGCAAGGCCGCGTCGGCGCCCGCTCCCAGCAGCAGGCCCGCCGCATCGCTCGCGCCCAGCATCGCCGCGTAGTGCAGCGGCGACATGCCGCTGCCGTCCACAGCGTCGACGTCCGCCTTTGCGGCGAGCAGCGCCTACAGGAAGGTTCGGGGAAGCGTCATGGAAGCTTCACGGACAGGGCTCATGTGGCGCCTCTGCGGCGCGCAGCGCCTCCACCGCCGCCGCGTGGCCGCTGTCGACGGCGTGGTGCAGCGCGCTCAGCCCGTCCTCATCCCGCGAAGACAACGCGTCCCGCCGCCTCTCCCCGCCCTCCATCGCGCCGAGGAACCTCTGCACGGCGTCGCCGCCGGCCCGCGCCGCCTCCAAAATGCTGCCTGCCACGCCGCAGCCGTCGCCGCAGCCGCCCCGGCCGCCATCGACGCCGCTCGGCACGAGCCCGGCCGCCTCGAGCTGCTCGCGCAGCCCCTGAGGGAGGCTTTCCAGCCCGCCCCCTCCCTCGGCCGCGGCGCCCTCCTCCGACGCCTCCTCTCCGGCCTCGAGCGACGCGAGCTCGACCGCCGAGATGTACTCCTCCATCGCGTCCTCGGCGGACAGCGCAGAGCCCGCGTCGCGCCACGCTTCCCACTGCTCGGCAGCCATGCCCTCTGGCGGCGCGGACGGCGCCGGCCCTCGGGTTGCGCGGGCATGGAGCCCGTAGAGCCGCCGCTGCGTAGCCTCCTCCAGCCTCCCGCCAAAGGCGGACGTCATGTAGAGCTCACACGCGGCGCGGAACTCCTCCTCTTCCGGCATAAGAGACCGCTGCTGTCGTGTTGGATTCTGTCTTTTTAAAAATACCGAAAGGAGGGCTACACGACGCCCTCTACGCTGGGGTGCCGGCGCCCTACTGGGCGCCCCCCGCTCCCTTCCCCTCATTCTGTACTTTTGCTAAAAGGGCGTAGAGCGCCTACGGGAATGCCCTGCCCCTACGCCTTTGTTGGCCGGAACCCAGGCGCTTGTGTTCGCGTACACGTGGTCTGTATATGGCTCCCACCGGCCCGCCCGCCCAGCTGGGAAGCGACTGCGGGCAATGCTGCAGCACCGCCTTACGCGATTCGCCTGTGCCGTCCTTCTTGTGCTCGCGACGCTCCGCTCGTACCTCCAGGCCAGCAGTTCTGTGAGCGCCACGTGGAGCCGGCCAAAGCCGCACCACGAGGCAGAGGCGATGGCGATGGCGAGGCGAAGCACGAGGACGGCACACAGGGATTCTGTACCCGGCGAGAGGTCCGCCGGCTCCACACCCGCCGACACCGCCACTCCCGCCTCCACGCCCGCCTCCACGCCCGCTGCCGCCACTCCCGCCTCCACACCCGCTGCCGCCACGCCCGCCTCCACGCCCGCTGCCGCCACTCCTTTCTCCACACCCGCTGCCGCCACGCCCGCCGCCACGCCCGCCGCCGCCGCCGCCGACCCCTCCGATGAGTGGACCATGCGTCCAGACCTGGTGCGCGACCCGTGGCTGCGAGTCCCGTCGCTAAGCGGCAAGCCGGTGCGCCGGCAGCGCGAGACGGAGGAGCGAGGCCGGGGTGCGTCCCGTGCGCCTGCGTCTTCCCTTCCCGGCGCGCAGTGGCTGACGGTATGGGCTCTTGCTCCGCCACCCGGCGCGTGAGCACGTCGGTGAGGCTGGTGTCCCGTAGCGTAGGACAAGCTCCTGCTCAACCGGCATGCGGCGGCGCGGCTGCTGCCTCACCAGGGTCGGCAGCGCATCCTGTTCATGGTGTTTGGCGGCTCGTCGATGGGCGACTTTCTGTTTCACTGGGCGAGCAGCCGCAGCCTAGACACTTTCCGACACCTCCCAGAGCCTTCCTAGCCTGCACGTCCGCTGGGTCTCCTAGTCCGCTGGGTCTCCTCCGCCCACACCCCACCTCCCCTCACCCTCTCCCGCCGCCCACACCCCAAGCTTCCCTCACCCTCTCCCGCGGTCTCCCCACCAACTCTAAGCCAAGCGCCGCTCTTGCGCACCCGTGGCAAGCCGCGGAGCACGGATCGCACCGGCGGTGTCTTGGGGCCATGATCCAATGCGGAAGACGCGTCTCGATGCACCGTAGGTCGCGCACGTGCGGCGTCTCGGCCTCGACTCGCACGTGCTAGGCGCGCGACGCGCCCGTCCTCTAGGCGGCGCGCCCCCCGCCCCCTTTAGCATTCTCGGAGCCTGAGCCAAGGCGCGATGGACGAGGCTCTCTTCCGGCGGTGCGACGAGGCGGGCGTCGGCGCGGCGCTGCTCAAGACGCCGCCCACGCCGACGCGGGAGGACGTGGCGGGCATCGAGACGAGCTGGTGTGCCGCCTCAACAATCGGAACCAAATTATCAGCCTTCAACTTCTTCTTCGACCCATCATCCAGCATGCAATTCCAATGGCCATGGCTCGCCACGCGGGCGCTCAGTGGGCACCGACCGCCTTCCCGCAGGCGGTACTACCGCATGGACCCGAAGGCCTTCACGCAGATGGGCGTTCTGAAGGTCGACTTTTTCGAGGAGTTTGTCCGCGCCGGCTTCGACGTGCTCGCCTCCGACCTGGACGTGACGTGGGTGCGCGACCCGAGGCCGTGGGTGACGGGGCAGGCTGCGGGCATGCAGCTGCTGGCGCACGCCGACGTGCTCGTCTCGACGGACATCGCCAACCTCGCGCTCGACACGGCGCGCTCCGAGCGGTGGCGGTACGCGGAGGTCAACACCGGCGTCCTCTTCCTGCGAAACACAAACGGCACGCGCGCCCTGCTCGCCGCCTGGAAGCGCAAGATGCTCGACGAGCTCACGGCGGGTCGGCTGCGCAAAGACTCGTGGGGCTTCAACGACCAGACCTACTTCAACATGATCGTGCGCGCGCTCGGGCTGCAGGGCGTCCAGTCGCAGGGCGTGTGGAGGCAGTGGCTCGCCGAGCGGGGCCTGGCCGACGGGGAGGTACACGCCTCGAGGGCGGCTGCGTATGAGTCAGTGGTTCGTGGGTCGATCAGGAAGCAATGAATAGGTCGACGCCTCGCGCGAGGGCGACCGCTCCGTCTACCGGAGCCGCAGCGCGCTGCCCCTCCCTTCGGGCGGGTCAGCGCACATCACACTGACCGCGCTGCCGGCCCTCGAGTTCTCGGGCGGCCACATCTACTTTGTGCAGCACGAGCAGCTGGCACGCGCCACCCCGCCGGTCGCGCTGCACACGACCTACCAGTTCTCGGACACGCCCGCGTACACGTGGGGGAAGAGGCAGCGCTTGCGCGAGGCGGGGCTGTGGCGGGGAGACGGCGATGAGTACTTTGACGCGGCGCGGAGCCGCCGCTCGAGGAGCAGCCTTCTCTCGGACCCTTCTCGCACCCTTCTCGCACCCTTCTCGGACCCTTCCGTGCAGGCGCGGAGCGGAGGCTTTTTGCGGCTGGTCGGCCCGCTCGTCGAGCCAGGCAGCCTCGAGGGGGTGAAGGTGCGCGAGGGCGTGGCGGCAGTCCGGGTCGAGGGCACGAAGGGCTACACCGACCGGCTGATGAACAACGTGGTCGACCCGACGGCGCTGCCCGAGGACAACCCGATGAGGCGAGCTGCCTTGTCGTCATTTGAATGTGCACAGCCACATGGAGGCGGCATAGTTGCCCATGGCCTTAAGCTGAATCCGTTAGCTGCACAAGGGTGTGATCCATACCTGCACTCATGCCGGCAAGTGTGCATGATTCTCTGTGGAGTATGAGACTGTTGAGATCTCCCACCACTGCGACCGCGTCTCCGTGCAGGCACCTCACCTTCGACGTGCTGCAGCGGGCGGCTCTGCGCGACGCGCTCGCCCTCGCCAGGGCGACGGGGAGGACGCTCCTGCTCCCGCCGCTCACGTGCTGGTGCGACCGCTACTGGAACGCGCTGCAGCGGTGTCGAATGGCCGAGGCGCCGAGGGAGATGCGGCTCCCTTTTGCGTGCCCGATGGACCACCTCTTCGACGTGCACCTCTGGGAGGAGCAGGAGGTGCCGGTCCGCGCGGCCTCCTTCCTCTACCACCCGCAGGCCAACGCCACCCTCCGCGGCGCGCGCGTGCGGCTGCGTGTCGCCGGCGGCGCGGGGGCGGCCGAGGCCGCCCAGGCGCCTCTCGCCCCGGGAGACCCGATCCCGCCTCTGCCGCCGCCGAGGGAGGAGCGGACGGTGGCGGCGGGGACGAGGCTTTCAGACATCCGTGCCGCGCTCGGGGCGGCGCGCGGCGCGCCCGTGCTCGAGGTCGGGGCGGCGGACTTGCGGCGGCTCTGTGTCGATCTCGGCTCGCCGCAGGCGAACCGCGAGTTCGATCACGTGATGCAAGCGCTGCTGGGGCCGGCGGAGATGGTGAGGTTCAACTACCGCCACATGGACAGCGTGTGGGGCTTCCGCCCTCCAGCGCCCATCGGAGAGCGGCCAGACTGCAGCAGGGCCAGCAACGCGGTGCAGCGACTTGATGAGGCGTCCAAGTTTGTGACGCACTTTTACCCGTTCGCCATCAAACCAGACACGGCCTTTGAGACGCGGCTGCAGTGACGTGACTGTGACAGATTTGGTTCATCAAAATAGGATTCAACAACAGTTGTTCTCCACTACTGTGGTGCATTGATTGCTCCCCAGCTTCGGAACTCTCATTGCACATAAGACATAGATTCATTCCGCATTTAAATAAACGGCTCGTCTATCCAAACTATCGACACGTTGCTGTGTATGGAGCTTTGCACAGAGAAGGAACCTCAGCGTGCGGATGCCCCGATTCTCTATGCAACTACACAGCATGCCCCGTCGGGGGGGGGGGGGGGGGGGCCACAACATGACCATGTGGTCGATGCCCCGATGGATCCAGCATCGTCCACAACGCACAAGCATGTAGCATGACCTGTGCCCGCGCTGGGACGCACTCAAAGCGTCAAGGGCCTCGCCTTTGTCGCGCGATGAGTCAGCCCCTAGCGTAGGTCGAATCAATGGCCAACTTCGAGCTCGCACGGACCCTCAGACACACCCTTGGCGGTCTGGCAGAAGATATCAGGCGTCGCCGTCACGCCCCGCCCGAGCTCGAAGGCCTCTACACACACCATGCTCCACCCTCCGCCGCCTGCGTTCTTGTCCCACTGGCAGGAGGTTCCGGTGCAGCAGTCGTCAGCGTTGTCTGCCGGGTTGCACGCATCCTGGCCCTTGTCGGGCCCAGCGCAGGTGCCGCACCAGGCACCAAGCAAAAGGCCAGGCCAGCTGCATGTACTGGGGTCGTACGGGCCAGATGGCGATGCAGAGGGCGATGGGGACGTGGACGGAGACGGGCTATGCACAACAGGAATTTTGACAATTAACAGTTGAGAACGATGGGCTTGCCCACCCATCCCGGAGTGGTTCGATCCCACATGAATCCGAGACGGTGACGGGTGCGTCTCGGTGATCTCAGGCCCAGTGAGGTAGTGCATCAGACTATCCCGGATCCTGCTGACCAAGCTCCTCTTGTAGCTCGATCGGTCACACCGCCATCGCCGTCGGGGAGAGGGGGGACGACACTGCTTCGGCAGCGTGCACCTCGATCCTGTACCGTGTTTGTTATGACCCCCCCCAATGAACATACCAGTGAGGGAGGGCGAGACGATCGAGGGGTCCCGTACCACGCGGAATCGGCCCTATCCAGTGCTCAAGTGCTCAAGTGCCATGGCGTGAGAAATTCGCGGGCGCACAATCAGCCCAGCCTCCTCTGCATCTTTGGAGCGGACAATGTGGCTTGCGGTCACGCTCAGCCCAGCGGCCCTCCGGCTGGCGGCGCCTGCGAGGCTGGCGCCGTTGACGATGCAGGCAGGCCGGGAGGATGGCTCTCAGGGAGGTCCGCCGGACGGCAGTGGCCAGCAGCGGCAGGTTGACCGGCTCCGCGAGCAGGGGCGGCTCGAGCTTCCAAAGCAGGAGATGGACCGGCTCCGAGCCCTCCGCGAGAAGGAGCGGCTCGCGGCGTACCAGCGTGGCCGCCAGCGGCCAGCCACCGAGAGCGGCGCGGACATCGTCGGGATTGGGCGCCGCGACGCCGAGGCCGCAGGGCGTCCGCGGTCCCCGCAGGGCGAGCAGCCGTACGGCTACGGCGGCGCGCCGCCCTACCCTGCCGGAGGGTATCCGCAGCAGGGAGGCGCGTACCCGCGGCAGGGGCCGGGCGGGCAGGGGCAGGGCGGGCAGGGGCAGGGCGGGCAGGGGCTCGGCGGGCCTCCTCTGTTCGGGGGCGCGCCTCCGTTTGGGGGTGCACCTCCGGGCTACGGGGCGCCCCCCGACTACGGAGGAGCGCCCCCGGGCTTTGGGGCGGGCGCGGCTCCCGGCTTTGGGGGAGGATCGGCCGGTGGGTACGGCGGCGGAGGCGCCGGCAGCAGCCAAGGCGGACGCGCCGGCAGCGCGTATGGAGGCGGCGGCGCCGGCGGAGCAGCCCAGGGCTACGACGCCGCGCCCGGCTACGGCGCCCCCCCGCAGGCGGGTGGCGGCGCGCCGCCAGGAGGCGGCTTTGAGCGGCAGCAGCGGCAGGACAGCTCCACCGGAACCGGAGGCGGAGCCGGAGGCGGCCCTGGCTCGGTGGTTGCGGCGGCGGCGCTGGCGGCGGCGGCGCAGGCTGCGAGGCGGCGC